CATAACCGCACACAGTAACCCGCAGTGATTGATGCACAGCAGCAACAATTTGCTACATAGATTCTGTTGAAAATTCTGTTGAAAACCGATAAAACTGCGGAATATATGCAAAAACGAAGTCGACTAAAACTCCAAAAAAAAAAATACAAAAACTTACAATAACATCAATGTCACTCTCATACGAGTCGCGATCCTCGTAGAAATCGTCAATCGTCGGCTCCGCTTTCATCTCATGAGAGACTGATGAACGCATCTATAGAAGGAAATCTCAGAACAAGGCTTCTAACCATATTTTGAGCCATACAAATTACTACATCCTAATTAGGATTTCGTTTTGAACTGTGCACCTTGAAGGAGACTCTTCCGCTCAAGTCATGCAAGAAACTGGAAAAGAAATAAAAAGAATTAATAAGAAGGGAGATAAAGAATCAATATGCTGGCAAATTAAGCGCGAACTAAGCGCTAAAGTAGTTGGACCGATCCACAGTAAGCGGCACCGCGGAGCCTTACTCTATATTCCCTGCCACGAAATTGTCGACCTCCCCCTGCCCCTCCCCGAGCACAGTCCTAGAAAGGGCCAAACGAGCAGAATGGGCGCGACCTAGTCATTTTACCTTCTCCAGGCCATGCTCTAGAACGGACAAGACGAGCAGAGGAAGCGCGGCCCAGTTACCTTGCCCTTCCCAGGCTCAGCTCTAGAAAGGAGCAGAGGCCTAGAAGGAGAGCAACGTCAGTTTACTCTCTCTAGAGCCAGCCAAAGAACGACAAAACAACCAGAGTGAGCTCCGCCTGTTTACCTAACCCTCACCAGGCTCAGTACTAGAAAGGGCCAGACAACCAGAGAGTGCGCCTGGACTTGTAGACTTGTTGTTCTGCCCCCCCCCCGAATGGCACCCGATTGAGAACAATTAGTCATTTTTTAAGGGAGGAAAAAAAAGAAAAAAGAAAGCGAAGAAATGAAGATGAAGAAGTAGTGAAGTAAATCGGTTAAGAATTAAGCCCTTGCGATCCTACCTCGTGGAGACACGGAAGCAGGTTCTTCTGTTGCAGAAAATACAGTACCATTATGTCAAAACCATAACTTGTCAAACCACCTTGCCGCCGATCAACAGCATAGATTCCAGACACCTTAATATTGCAGCATTTGAAGCCTAAAAATCACCACCAACAGATAAAGTTTTACCTCCGCCCATTTCCTGACAATTTGGCAAAGTTCGGCAAATTTAGGATGAACAGCCGTGTACACGGAAAGCAATCTGCCATATTTCAAGCCATTTTCACACCTCCAAGCAAGCCGTACGCATACATTTGATACGATAAATTTGATACACATCGGTACATCAGGGGTAAATTGCACATCGAACCCACCTGAATATAAAGAATAAACAAATAGTTTTTGTAATGGTGGAGGTGATTTGTAAGGAGCTATCGAAAACTGCTGACTAAAAGCTACAGTATCCAGGAGAAAGTTCAAGATCAACGGCGCTATAGGCACGGCGATCGCTGTGCATTCCTCTGCCGAGTCTCCTCTCTTGAACATATGCCTCTGATTCTCTTCCGCTAAAACCCTAGCAGCTACTCCCCGCACTTCCGTCAGATATGCACTGTTGATGAACCCCACGAAAAAAGAATGAAGAGAAATAACACGAATACAAATCTAAATAAATAGACTAGAACAAATAAATAGAGCCTTTCAATCTAATTATGGGAGACACTGATTCTTGAAAATCTTACCAGGAGCAGTCTTCAGAAGATCGGCCACAGATTTCATGGTATCAATAGCGTCACTGCCATCCACAGTGGGAATATCGATAGCTATATTCAGATCGCTGCTTTCAATGGAGGTTCTTGCCAGCACAGAACCATAAACTGATATTCGACCTGAAGTAGGATGCAAGTTAAATAATTAGAGCATAAAGCAGCGAACACATGTTGCGATAATGCGCGTAAACGCGCTGCGACGCGCTACGGCGATTGGGCAGCACCCAACCACCGATTATGCTTTACCCTCAAACCACGATTGACCTGCGCTCCCCCTCCCCCCTCCTTACTCTAGAACACTGGAGCCATGGCAATAGTAGCGAGTCGCAGCGCGTCATCGCAAAGTCTGAATGCCGCCTAAAATGCGAGAAAGAGAATCTCGAAAGGAAAAAACTATTCCGCTGTGATAGGGTAGTTCGGAGCAGGGGTATTAGGCACGGGGTTGGGCTCATCAGAGCGTAGACGAGCATGGTCACCACGACATATTCCTGTAAAGCAAACAAATCGAAATTGCCGCGTGCGTGCCACTTTAGCTATTGCTCTGGAATCACCATATGATCTCCAATGCGACTGGAAATGGTGAGTGGGCAAGGTACGTCGTACCTAGTGATCTCAATCGAACTCGGCTCTTTCCCGTTTCACTTGCGACTTATCTCCTTCTCCCCCCCCCCCCCCCTTCTCCACTCGAAGCAGGGCACATCATAGTTGGGGATTCCCCGACAGGGGGTTCTACTGAGTTGCTGGGGGAGGAGGAGTCAGAGAAAAATTTGTTGGCTTTTCTTTGTTTCAGGGACGCTATAAAGAGGGATGGGAAGGGGGTTTTCGAATTTGCCTTCTGGCCTTTGGAGAGATTTTTTTATTTCTCCTGACTCATTGAATACAACTTCCCCTCCCCTCCCCCCTCCCATGCCCGACAGCGAAATTCATGGGGAAAAGCGGGGAAGTTTTGAAAAGCTGATAGGAAGAAGGAAAATCTAAGAAAGTGGTAGGTAGGATGGGAATGGGGAGTCGTATTTTCCTCTCGCTTCTTCACCTTTCACTCTGTTATCCACCAAAGCTAGTGAACAGAGACGCCCCGTTACTGGAGCCCTTAAAGCTAAACCAGGTAAGTGTGAGGAACGACTACTTCCATGGGAGGCACAAACAAAACTTGAGACGACAGTCATGCTCCCCTTCAACTTCAGTAGCACTGAACAAATTCGCTTACCTGTTACACCCATTTTCTTGAAAACGTGATGAGTCAGAACTTCGTTGACTGTTTTCGCAACGTTCTGACGTTGTTGCCAGATTGGACCTCCTCCTTTCTTCAAAACAACATAATTCGATTCATAGATCCCCAACAAACTCTAGGAAGCAGATGATGATACCTCAGACTTCTCTTCAAGCAGCACTTTTATCAACGCATTGATAGCTGCCAACTGATTGCTGGACATAGGAGGCATTCTTTCAAGCAAATCCTTCCTTTCATTTAATCGCTAAAAATATTATTTTAGATTTCTGACTGCTTCGTTAACCAGATGCGATTCTAATACGGAAGACCAAAGAAAGAAATGAGAGACTGAAGAAGCTGGAATTCCTGGCGGATTTGCGACAAATATTGTCCGAGAAGGCGTTCACGCTTTGTGTCCGCATTCTGAGCGTTTTTACTGTCTCGAGCCTTTACGGAAATATAGGTATCGATCCAGCAGTTTGCGGAACGCCTTCGTTCGCACAAACGTCAACGCGAGGTATGAGCGCACTCAGACGAAGACATTGTAAGTTGGATAAAAAGTACTTCAGCGTTTTGTTACAGCTAAAATCGATGTTACAAAATGCCATTTTGAAAATTCACCTGTTCTTCCTGAAAATGCTGATGTGTTTCAAAGTGGGTTCGTACATGTTGGATATTACTCATGTGAAAATCGCACAGAGAACACCAGTAGATGGCATCCGGGAAATTCTCGTGAATTTTCAAAATAACGGTAACATCGATTTTAGATGTAACAAAACGCCGGAGTACTTTCTAACCAACTTACAATGTCTTCGTCTGAGTGCGTTCATACCTCGCGTTGACGTTTGTGCGAACGAAGGCGTGTCCGCAAAGTGCTGGATCGATACCTATGTTTCCGTAAAGGCTCGAGGCAGTAAAAACGTTCAGAAT